CGAGCACAATTGGATCAGCTGAATCCAAGGTCCGCTCACGACTCGCCCCGGACTCGAAGGAGTTCGTCGCCAACCTCCGAACGGCAGGCGCGAGCGGAGACGACTGGAAGATTAGCCAACCTCACCATCCGAGGTCATGACGATCGGAACATTGCTTATGTTCTAATGTTGCCTCATGTATGTATTAGTAGACTACTTTTCCTACCGGTAGTATCTTCTATCAGTTGGTGTATCTGGAGCTACATACAGAGAAAGCAGAGTGGTGGAGTCTACTTTTGCTCATGCTCAATTGTTCTCCTAAATTGCAAGTCGTCAAGCTCATCGGTGTACGCATTGCAAGTTCATATGGCAACTACTTTTTTCCAGCTCAGTTTCAGTTTTAGATTTGATGATCAGATCTACTAATATGATATACATTCGTGTTTTCCCCTCGTTTTTCTCAGCAAAAGTATTGTGAAAAAGAACGTGTGGTTTGTGAGAAATGGAATCAACCTAAGAACGTATCTGAATGTTTGATGCTCCATCTCGAGACATTTGTGTGGAGCGGCTACAAAGAGCAGCTCGAAGAGGTGAAAGAGGTGGCGAAATACATCCTAAGAAATGCAAAACATTTGAAGAGAGCAACTTTCTCCATAAAAGGCCTTAACTCGGACGAGACACTTGAGATGCTTATGGAGTTGGAAATTCTGGTCAGGGCTTCGAATTCATCATGCAAGCTTCTTCTTCTTTCTGAATGAAACTTTTAATATATCAATAAGAGTCATTGTTATTCCAGGTGACTTTTTTAACTATAGTGTTAATTCAATAGGTTTGTAGGGATTTATATTCTGTTGTGGACAAAAAATTTCATCTTGTTCCAAATGCATCGTAAGGAATGCAAGTGGTTTGGAAAAGGCAAGTTTCTCCAGAGAGTTCATTCGTTTGAGATGTTGGAGAAATTGGATAAGTAAAGGTTTATATAGACTTGTAGTGTGGCGCTATGTGATGTGTAATCGATACAATATTCAGAACGTTTGATATGCCTAATCCTCAAATGTTTATTTTAGCATAAGTTATATAAATCTATATATAATAGCAAACAAAAAAAAATGAATATTTTTGAGGTGTGACTTCTCGGTCTATATATAGTGGTTGCTTTTAAGGGTTGCATCTTTTTGAAAAGTTATATCTTTTCGTAAAAAAACGTTTGGTGTTTATTTCTAAAAATTGCATCTTCTCGATATAACCGTTTTGTCAAAATTTACGTATTTCCGATATAACCGATCAAGAGTTGCGTCTTTTCGACATTGCCGCTTTATGAATATTTTAAGGATTGCGTCTTTTCAAAACAAACCGTTTCGTC